CAGCTCCAGTTTCTTACCCCAAACTGGGTCAGAGCCCAACTCTTTGGCCTTAACACCTTCTCTCACACAGGCAGGAAATTTCAGTCCCAGCAATAAAGCTTTTTAAAATAAGAAGCAATTGTAAATAGGCTCCAGTAGAAAGTTTCTCTCCTCCTGCAGAATTTTAACAATAGATGATGTTACCCCCTACATAAAATATAAAGATAGTTGTGTGGGAAGGTTAAAGAGGAAGAATTGCTGCTATTGGTATCTGCATCTCTTTGACTTATAAATGAGAATGAAATGATGTGATGGCTAAGTGGCAGAAAAGATTCGGAGCCAAGGCACACAAAAATATGCCAAAAAAAGTATATAATTTTGTAACAAAACAACTTTTGGTATTTTACAAATATGCTTAATAGGAGTAAATCTAAATTATTGTCCTAATAGCTTGAAGAAAATGAAGAAAATTAAAAGCTTCATTTTGAGTTTACCATGAAAATGGTGGGAAGATATTTTACTGTATTATTTATTCACTGATATTTAGAAGTCAGCACTTCAAACCTGTTTACTTAGATATTTTTCTTTAATCTTCAGTTTTAGACAAAGTGAATTCAAAGTGTGATAGAAAGTGACAATTCATATAAGCCTATGAAACTATAATTTTCTGGTTTGTTGCTTGGTGTAGAATAAATGCTGAAAAGATCAAGAAACTTACATGTTTTCTAAGTGCTATCTTTGATGGAGATCTTGCTTAAATAGTCTGAAATAATAGGCCCATCATTTCTAACTGTCTTATAATTGAGTAACTGTTTCAGAATTATCCCCATAATCATCCCCTACATACAGAAACTACATACTTGCTAGAACCCTTGAAAATTTGCATCCTTCTATTCAAGTAGAAAATGCATTGCAACATATATTTTTTGTCTCTAAAATTATAAATAATTATATTTTACAAGCAGGATAAATGAAAGCACAGTTAAATGATTGAGGCAGTGTCAGATTGAGGGTTTTTTTCGAGTAAGGAGCATGCCAGTTTTGTGCTTTTTACTCAGATAAGAAAGAACTATTTTCCTTTCTGAAAAGGAAAAATAAATGAAAACCACTCCACAAAGACAACTGCAGTCAAGACAGTTTGGTTAGGTTATTTTTGAAAACTATTTTATGCTTCTGACTGTTCTACTTCTAGATAGGAGAATAAGTTTAAAAGGTAAGATTTGCTTCACTGAGTCATTATTCTGAAATATTTACCAATAACAGCACACAAACACTGTAGATAATGAGGCCATTACACAAACACAAATTACTTATTGGATCTCCATCCTCATTGCAAAACTATCAGTGTCACTTCCTACTTCAATGTTTCACTGATTTTTCCTCTTAAAATTTTGACTGAAACCTCCTTTGAGCATCAGCTTCCTGATGCTCAAAATTACTTTCTTCTTCATTATTTAGTTCTGTGAACAGAGACAGTTGAAAGTCAAAATCTATACCCTATATTGACTGGGGGAATCAATTAGAGGATAATGTGTGTGAAGTACAGTTAAAATGACTAGGAAAATTGGTAGGCTCTAGAGTGACATGAAAAACTCATATAATGGTACTTTATACATGTGTTCACTTGCACAGAGAGGATCTCAAAATACAAACACTTTTACATGACAGTGTCAGACTATTCCACCACTATCACAAATCTACAGACTTACAATCTGAAGCACAATCTGGGAAAGCAACTTGCTTACAGGTGGTTGAATTGAGAGCAGAATCCAAAATGTATCATATCCCCTTGATAGATTTCAGTCCCTCACTAATACACACAGTTCTTTTTTAGTCCTCTGAGTGACAGCATCTCACTCTACTGCAAGTACATGCCACTTACAACTTCTGTGCCCCTTTCTGTTTTGAACCTTATGCTGTCATCTGCCTTCCTGAAGTGCCTGCTGCTCATGTAAAATGATAAAATATGTTATCTATACTAACCCTGATGTCAATTTAACTTTTTACTCCTAATCAAAGCTCATTACACCATCTTGGCATGACAATTTTGTTTAATTGCGTAATTTGCCAACAGATCACTTTTGAAAGTAATTTATGCGGCTCTTTGCCAATTAATAATTAGGTAATGCTCTTAAGGAAAACCTTGCCATGTAGGTTTGAGGATTGATGCTGATCTACACACCTCTATCATAGTTCATAATTAACTTTCTGTGGAAAGCTGGCTGGTAGAAATGTGTCCCACAACTGTTAACGTGAATGTTTTTAGCTTTTATGTAGTGGTCAGTGCAGAAGCAAAATTCACTTTGAGTTGTCTCTAAATGGAATGGCTGAATCAGGAAATTTTAGCTTCTCTCTCAAGAATCCTTTGCTCTAAACTGTATCAGCCAGAAAAACTCCTTTGATTTGCTGGAAAATTAAATCAGCCCAGTTCTGCTGGCCAATATCTTGTGGAGTCAGGATAAGTAAATAAGAGTCTGTACACTTTTCACATTAATTGTAGTTTAGATGAAGATTACAATTATTTTCAATGATTACAAAAAATGCTGCTGTTCTAATTATTGCATAGACAACATAAATTCATGTTTATGAGTTCATCTGGAAGGCTTGAAAACAGTTACAAGAAAGAGAAAGCTGCAGTTCCATGGCTTTAATTATTTTGAAGACAGGCTTTAAGTACAGCCATAGCAGTCTCTTGGAAACCAATGTGAGTAACAGTAAATCAGTTAAAGATTTGCAGAAGAGTTTGAGTTGCAAGCACCCGAGAAAGTTTGCACATTTTTCCAGAATTAGAGCTAGAGCTTCACTGCACAGGGGACTGACATTCAGGAGGATGATAGTTCAGCACTCAGAGAATGGAAGTATCCTGTTTCAGATACAATTCTGAAAGCTGCTCCTGAATACCTGGATCATTTATCTCTTACTTCCAAGTGTCCTACAAAGGTCTTGGATCTGTGTTACTCTGGAAGCTGGATAACCTCATTGTTAGGTTGAAATGCACTCTTCATTCAGCAGAGACAACTGCTCTTGTCATCTGTGTAGTAACTTAAATTGGTATTGGTAATAGTGAAGAGAGAGAGAAACAGATTTTATGAGATCTTAACCACTAACTCTTACTGGAGAGGTCTGTGTTTTGTCATTGAAATGATAAAAGAATGTGATTTTTTTTCTGACATAAAAGACGTTCCACTGGTCAGTGAAGTGCCTCCCACTCCCACTTCAAATCCTATTTCTGAGTGTCTCATCAAAAGGAATAGTTTTTAATTTAAATCTGCCAGCAATTACATAGTTAATTCAGTCACTGAGGTAGATAACTCAAACGTAATTTCAAATGTTTCATATAAATCTTTCCAAGTAATTGGAGCAAGAAAGCACGCTAATTATTGTCACCCAGTAATCACAGCAAGTACAAATTGATTGCATGGTATAAATGAGTATACTGATTGATGAAACAAACAAACAAAAAAAGATGTCACCCCAGAACGTTTCAGCTTTCTTTGAAACCAAATTTCTCTAAGTTTGGACAAAGGATCCACCTTTACTCCAATTCTGACCCAAGTCTACCTTAGACTCATTCAGTATGAGTGCAAGTTTGTGTAAGAGCATAAACTGTGATGGGTAATTTCATTTGTTCCACATCACTGCATTAATAATTCTGAGAGGAAAATAGTTATTTGAGTTCTGGCTAATGAGAGAAAAATCTCCAAAAGTAAAAGAGCAATGTGAAATAAAAAAATAATCAAGAATGTTCTATATTCCTAAAAGTCTCCTGACCACTTGATTTGGGAATGCTCACTTGAAAACATGAACTGAATGACTCCTGGGTTCATGACTCTCTGCCCCGGCTGTTGAATTCTGGTATGAACAGAACCTTAGTGGAAACAGATCAGGAAAGGATAAGATGAAGAAAAAAACAATCCCAGATGGATAAAGAGAATCAGAGAGAAATACAAGGATAGCAATTCACATTTTGGAAGAAAATAGTTATTAGCAACTGAACAAGGTACATAAAGACATTTCAAGAGATTAATACCTATGACTGGAATTGGACATTTCTCCATCCTGGGAAGTTGTAAGACTTCCTTAGGCCTCTGTTGTGAACACAGGATTGGCAACTTCACAGTCTTGAATCAGTCTCCAAAACCATGACATTGACCCCTGCACTTTGTAGATTAACCACAGCACTTGTTTAGCTGGCTGATTCATACACATGATGTGGGAAACCAGCTGATGGTTTTTGAGCTGAGATTCACCCATCCTGCCCTCCTTAAAGACTTTGCTCAACCACAGAAACGCAGTCCCCGTGTCTTTGTGAATGAAATGACCAGGAGATTGGTCTCTTAATCCCAAATAACAAAGACACTCAATTAAATCCTAACACATACTGTCACCATTGACATAACTGAGGTAAAGTTATGGAAAGGGCTGCCTTCTGGTCTTTGGTAAAGACATTTGGAAACGTCTTTATACATTTCAAATAAGCCAATCCTCAATTTTGTCATGAAAACAATTGATCTGGTTACATCTGATTTCATCAGAACAACTGAAGTGATGAAGTTACAACTCTCACAAAATCTCATCATCATCTAGCCTTTTTCTTTGTTGGTATCCGACACTCACTGATTTCTCCTGATCCTTTTCCAGAGTCTTTGCACCAGCCACATCACTGTCATTCATCCTCTCACTTTGTGCAGTGCATCTTTAAGTGTCGAACCTGGAAGGAGGGACCCCTGGGAGCTCTCCTCGACACGGGACCCAGCGCTGAGGGACAGCCGTGCCCCAGCCTTTGGAGCGGCAGCGAGGGCCGGGCCGGCCCCTCACGGCGCTTTCCCGCCCTGCCCTGCCCTGCCCTGCCCGCCCCTCAGCGGCTCCCGCCGCTCCCCGCCCTGTGCCGCTCCCGGGGCCAGTGGGCGCGGCGGTGCCCGCCGCCAGCGCAGCCCCCTGCCCGCCCGGCTCCGCCCGCCACAGTCGCTTCTCCTTTCCTTTCCTTTCCTCGCCTCTCCTCGCCTCCCCTCCCGCCCGGGTGCCGCCGAGCCGAGGCGCCGGGCGGGCAGCGGGCGGGCGGCCGCGCCATGAGCGCCGAGTGCAGCAGTTACCTCAACGCCGACAAGGTGCTGGTGAGCGGGTTCAGCTGCCCGCGGGCGGGCGGCGACGCCCGCGCCGTGTTCTGCTGCGGCTTCCAGGACGTCAAGTACTGCTGCGATGACCCCCACAGCTTCTTCCCCTACGAGCACAGCTACATGTGGTGGCTCAGGTAGGGGAGCGGCGGTGCCCGCCGGGGTAGAGGCTCCGGGCGGGAGAGCCGTGTTCGCCCGGGCTCGGCTCGGGTGTGTGTTTGTGAGGTACTTGTAGCCGGGCACTTTCAGGCTGCCTTTGTCCCGCCGAGAGTAGCGGTAGAGCTGCATCTTTAGCCCAGAGAGACTCTTGCTCGTGCCGAGGTAGTTCCTGAATGAAATAACTCGTGGTCTTGGTAAGGAAGCGCTGGGAAACGCTCGGTGCCTCTGGCAGAGCACCTTGAGTGTCTCCCGCCCTTTGGGCGTGAGGGGAGCGGCTGTCTCGGGGCCTGAGGTGCTGCGTGCCATAAAGTTCCCAGTGACTTGAGTTAGTTACTTTTCCATGTGAGATAAAGCACTACATAACTTGCCGCTTGGAAGAGGCAGATAATGAGCCTGGTGCTCTGCCTGGATAGTGCAGGGATCTGCCTGGATCTCCAGCAGCAGCAGGGAGAGCTGCACTCAGCACCCGGCTGCTCTCTGTGCCTGATTCCCCTCGGGCTCCACAGCATCCACGCTGGCCGTGTCAGGATGTTAGTACACCTCTGCATGGGGCTTCCGCTGTGTTTCTTATGGAAGTTATTATGGAAGTTATTATCTTTGATTTTGTCAAATCCCCTTCTGGACTTGCTTATGCCGTCTGCTTCTGCAGCCCTGGTGGCAATAGTCACCACCTGCTGTTTGAAGATAGATCCTTTCATCTGTTTTATGCTGTTCCCTACTACTTTTCCTGAGTGCCCTCTAGTATTAGGATTATGAGATTTGGTGAACAGCAATTGCAGGTTCAGTTTATGCACAGTGTTTAAAATGTTGTGAGCATTTGGTGCATCTATTCTCAGCTTTCACCTTTCCAAACTGAGCAGCTTTTGGATTATCGTTGAGGCAGATGCTTTGTCACACTGATCATTTTGGTTGCATCTCATCCATACTGTTTTTCACTCCACAGGACTGATCTTGGAAGTGCATAATCTGGAGCTGCATGCCCAAGGTGTGGGTGTGGCAAGGTTCTACAGAGTGGCCAAATCTTGCCTCCAGTCTCACTCTCAAATTCTATTCCGTTGAGGTCTTTGCCAGTTCTCATCAACTCCAAGATTTCAGTGAGCTGTCACTGAAGACTCTAAAACTCTTCTCGAGTTCAGAACTGCCTGTTCTTAGTTTATTGCTATGTAGGCTTGGTTTTACATTACATTATGTACACTTGAAACTCATGTACATCACTTTTGCCTGTTCACTCAGCTTTCTGCAAGTCTTGTAGCATTCCTTGCCCTCAGCATTTGATTGCTTGTAAGGGCTTAGGATCATCAGAAACTCAGATTTCCTTCTTCACCAGGTCATAGATGAAGATATGAATCAAAATCAATCTCAGTGACTTTTCTTTATACTGAAAAGAGACCACTTAAACCTTGTACTTTGCTCCTTATGCTTTTAAGTAGCCTTAAATTTGTAGCAAAACCTTTCCCTAATCCTATATGAATTCAGTCTTTTTAACCTCACTTTCAGTGCAGGGCTTTGTCTGAAAGCTTTTTAAGACTTTTTAACTCTGTCTGCTGGGTTCCTCTATCCATCTGTCCAGTGACACTCCAGCAGGTTAACATGGCAGTGTTTTCCCCTCATCCTAAGGCTGATCCTTTCATTAAAGATTTTGTGTCAGTGCCAGCAGCTCCCTGTGGGTAACGAGATGGTTGAGGGTAGAGGCTTTACCATCAAAGGACCTGTCCCTCATATTTCGGGAGGGTGAGCTTGGGTCATAGCCAGGCTCAGATTCAGCACCGGGCAGCCAGACACCCTCAGCACCTCGGCCAGCAGCTCTGCAGGTCCACGTGAGAGCTCCCTCAGGGCTTGTGAGTCAGTGCTGTGCAGTACTATGGACTTACTATTTTAATATATCTGGTCTAATATTTAATGTATTATTATTTGAAATCTATTTTGTTTGGTGTAAAGAGTGGGTTGATTGTGGGGATCTCCCAGCCATCCACTGCTGTGACTGACACACAATTACTTGGCTTCTCTGATGTGAGAAGACATCTCCCCGTGTCCTTTTTTACACTTCTGCTATCAAATACTTACACTGTTTTAATGTTATATTTTTGCATAGCCTTTGACTGTTTTAATCACAGTAAACCTTCTCAAGATGGTGGAAAAACTGAGGGAATAAGTTGATACTGCATCCCAACATCTCATGTGGATGTTGTAGGGAAGGCTCTTAAAGCTTGATCTTTTCAAGCACTACTTCCATGAACGGAATCCCAGGAGAGGCTTTAATGAAACACCTCTCTGAAAGCTCTTCCTTTCAAAAGATTTTGTAGGGTCTGAGAAGTGACTGCTTAGCCTTCACATGAGCCCAGTCCCAAAAGTTTGGGCCCAAACTTTGAAAATTAGGGATTTTTTTTTCCTTCTTGCTACAGTAGCCCTAAGCTGATAAAAGGACTCATTGAAATTGCTATTCGTGGAGTTTTGGTTGTGCTTAACTTCTGCCATAAATGACTATATCCATTGTAGAAAATAGGTGGATAAATACAATTTACCTTTCTAAGCAAAGTTCTGAGTAGTTAGAATTGAACCACTTCTTATAGATGTTTCCAGTAACAAATAGAATAATTTTTAGTTATTAACACACTGGAAACATTATAATATTACATTTTGAAAACTCTATACATTTTCACATGATAGTTTAGTTAGGAGTTTAAGGAAAACAAAAAAATAACATTTTCTGGCCTCTCAGAATGTTTTGGTGATCACTAGACTGCTACTGATATTGGTTGGTAACAGCCATATGATAAAATCCTTAAAATGCTTCTTTCAGCCTTTGAGGACACACTTTTAAGTCTTGGGTCTCTTAAAATTTGAAACTAAACAAAGGTTAGGCAAACCAACCAAAGTAAGTCTGGAGATGGAAGGGAGAGGATAAGGAGGCTCTGGCAGGAGAGCTGTTTTAGGTTTTGCTTTACTCCAGAACTTGGGGATTTTTGCCTAAATCTTCATTTGCTTGACTCCCCCCAGATATTTGAAAGCAGTGATTGTCTGCTCCACAAGTGGTTGGTGATATCTCAGGGATTCCTGCAGTTTGGTGACACACCATGTAGAATTCCAGGAAGCTGTTGCACATTTCCCTTGTGTTTTTCCTGCTGTGGGAGGGACGTGGCCAGACCCGTTGTCACCCAGCTCTGACAGAAGCAGTTCATGGAGGGTCCCACAGCCTTGGCAACCCAAAGCAATCGTTTCCTGCAGGCCAATGCTCTTTTTTCTTGCTGAATCTCTACTGCCTGTACTATGTTTAGAATTAGACACTGCCCTATCCCTTAGCAACATGGAACCCTCTTTTCCCCTCCCAGTTCTGCAAAGACTGCAATATTTGACAACATCCTAACACCTGCAGTACTGGGAGCTGCTGGACATCATAGACAATAGACCACTGAGCAACTCTGACACCTTTCACATTTTCAGCAGAATTTATTATGTATAATTAATAATATTAATTTCTGACTCACCCTTTTTTTTTTTGCTGTATTTAAAATAAAAAAGTATAGTTTTTGGTTTTTAAAAAATCATACATCTTGAAAGACTGATTTCCTCAAAGAGAGGAGGATGCATTTTGCTGTCTCTTACAGTTGTCAGGAGCCCATGGAACAGGGAAGGCAACATTAGGAAAAGGCAGAACTCATCAGAAGGTTATTCAGCTTTTGAATCCACAAAACACAGATGCTATAAAACACCAGTGAGCCAAACTGAGCAGCTCAGCCTCCAGAGCAGTGTGCTGTGCATGCACATGCAGTTATCACATCTGCTTTACCTCACAAGCTGAGTAGAAGGGGAGAAATGCTGAACATGTGGTATTTGTACCGAACTGCAGCAGTTATGTTCAGTCAGCCTTTTTGTTTCTCTTTGTTCTAAAATATTTTCTATTTATTTTTGTCACTCTTCTGTGAAGTTTTATTTTTATAATGGCCTCTTTCAGTATCAAATAGAATTCTAATATCCATTCCAAAGCTGTATCTTTTAAGTTGCATGTAATAATACATATTTGATTAAAATTCTGTCAAGCCACATATAGATTTTATTCAAAATGCCTTCTTAATTAATACCCATAGAGCCATCGTGGCCTAATACTGAGGCCAAGCTTTGCATGGCTGTACCGACCTCCAGGCATCTGTTTTGGGTTTTCAAAATAGCAAGTCTTTTGTTTCTCTGTGCCCATTCTTCCAGTCTCTCGAGTATTTATCTGTGTGCTTTGCAAATACTGTGAACAACACGTCACTGCAACAATGGCATTGGGAACATTTGATTTACTTGGATCCGGGTGACTCATGAGCTTCCTTTTAGTCTATCAGTGGGCAATATTGCCTCTGCTTAGCCAGTATTTAAAATTTCCCTGGTTTTGGATGGTGTGGATGGACTCATTTTATGAATTAAAAATAACTATAGATGTGTGATGCTGAGCATCCACTGCCAGACAAGTCAATGGACCCACTCATCAGCTCTCTGGACACAGCCTGGGGAGCCCTGGGGAGGCTGCTGGCAGAGTGGAGCCTCTCTGCTGAGTGAAGCCTTTGCTGCTGCAGGCCTGGATGTGGCACTCGGTGTAACAGCAGTGAAATGTGTGGCATGGCTCTATCTTTATGTGGAAAATAACTTGGGAGAGTTTGGATCTTCTGCCAAACTTAACATTGCTCATGTCAGAGTTACCCCTAGGCCTTCACTGCCATCTTTATGCCAGATTGTTTTGGGGTTGAGTGGGTTGTGGATGCAGGGGATTTTGCTCACTGATGAGGCCACAGCTGTGGGCAAGGGGGGCTTTTCAGTTTGCTTGTTTAGTGCCTCTGCTGTCAGAAGACTGATGTCGAAGACACACCCTGAGACCTGTAGGCTGTTACCATGTGACTGCTGGGTGGCCTTCAGGCAGAGTTTAAGGTAAAGAATGGAAGGTGGCAAAATTCTTTTAGTAAGGGCTTTTTAAAGCAGATATGCAGCACCATGGTAATTGCTGTAGAATCTAGAGGACATGCTGTAAGGTTGTCTTTATTTTCAGAGGAGTAATTGTTAAAGTGGTCAGTGATCATAGTTATTTCGTATTTTGTTTCTGATAACAGCTTTAACTAGTAAAACAAGAAAGAAAAGATTTTGTTCTGGTTAAGAAATGTCAGTATTCAGAGCTGTGGAAGACATATTAAATTTCTCTGAATTAGATAAATTAAGAAACAACCCTCCATCCCCAAACTTTAACCGAAATTAATCTTACCGAACTTAATTATACCTTCTCTGTGGGTTGACAGCTTAAGCAGTTTGAGAACAATCTGGTATTGAAACATTGTGTGTTTAAAAAGAGTAAGTACAAATTGTCCTGATGCCTGATTCATTCAGGAAGTGGAATCAGAGTATCTGTTTGGTTTTGTGATGCTGGTGAGGTCTTCTCATGTTGCTGCTGGAGCATGAGAAACATTTCTTGTAGCACATAATCTGTCATGAGTCTTTGACCTGGAGAGTTCCTCAAGTTTTTCTTGCCTTTGCCTTTTGTAATTCCCAAAGCATCTTACACAACTTGTGTAGTGAAACTGATGATGCATTGTGCTGTGAAATACACAACTGTATTGTTCATGTCATCTTCTACAATTGCATGGAGGAGAGCTACAACCAAGAAGAAACAGATGGCTGAATAGAAAAATATATAATCGTTAATATGTACTTGATCTATTTGGCTTTAGGGCTGTTGACTCTGCTTAATGTTTGGATAATGGTGAACAGTCTCCTTAGTCCTGCACTGCAGACTGGAATTTAAATGGAATCTTACAATAAAGCTTGTACTGTCATGACAAAAAAGCACAAATAACTATTTCTAAAGAGCCTTGTTTGTACTGCATGGTTCTATGGCTCTTCAGCCTTCTGTAATGTGTATTTGTTGTATTTTGTCTATTTGGGTCAAGGTGTTCCAAGTGAAAATGCAAAAATAGGGCCAGAATCCAGGTGAGATTTCTGAGTGTAGGTCATATTCAGATTCCATAGTAAGCAGAATATTGCTTGCTTGCAAGTTCTGTTTGAGCCAACAAACAATAAGAATTTGCTTAATATGTGCATATATAAACAAATACATAAAAATATCCTGTTTAATGCAGATTATAAATACCATGAAAAGTCTTCAGAAGTGTAAAGCTGTTTTTTCCAGGACCATTTTGCTGATAACAAATTATTTTAGCTGTGCATGGAGCTAAATGTTGCCCAAACTTCATTACTGAATCTGACCGGTTATTAATGAAATCCACATGTGAAAGTCATAGTGATAGCTGCTGTTCTCATCCTGCTGATTTTAGGAATTTCTCCTGTGGACATATCTGTGTGCTGGTGCTGTGGGAGCTTGAAGAGAAGCTTTACAGTATCTTCAATGTAAAATTCATAAAAACATCCCAAGGCACAACTCTTCTCATCTTCCTGCAAGGCCACAGTAGAGTTGACTTCTCGCTGATAGCAGTGATATATAAAGGCATTTTTATGACTAGAAGATGGAGCTTGAAGAATTCAATACATTCATCTGTCTTCTGTCCTTTTGACGTCTGTCAAAATTGTAAATATACCAGAGCAGTAGTATAAGGATTCTCAGTCCTCAGACTTCTCACCTGTGACCAAAAGGCTGCTGTTTCATTTCACCAAAAGTCAGGATCTTTGTCATGGACTGTAGAATAGAGGATTGGAACACAGAAGGCATCAAATGGCCCAGGAGAGTGTAGGAAATGATAGCTAGACTGTATTATATTGGCTCCTTTATTTCATCATGAGAATTTTATATTAGGAAAAGACTTGAAAATAAGGGTTGGAAATCAGGAGAGATTTCTGTATATACATATACTGTCTCACTGTATACCTATGGGAGATGTATGAAGTAGCTTTTATCCTGCAGAATGGCACCTTGATAAAATCTATGTATAGTACTGTATATTTGGCCTCCAAAGTAATTAATTGCTGCTTCTTTGATGCCTTTGATATTGTGAGTAAACTAATTCAGCTTTAGTTTTCCTTTTACTGTGACAAAGATCATGGGAGAATTTCTCCAGTCTTGACTGGAGATTTATTTCATTAATGCAAAGGCACAACAGTGTTCACAGTACTCCACCCTGCTTTGCAGAGCTGCTAACAGAATTGAATAATATGTTTTTTAATACTATAAAAATGGCATTTCAGACTGAAAATGCAGCTTTAGTAGTCATGTTGTTGGAGCTGCCTGGAACCCTAGAATCCCTCTGTGTGTATGTGCACTGAAGAACTTTTTGATCTCACTGATATCAGTTACTGTATGAAGTTATTTCTGATTTTCATAAACACATTTTATGTCAGACTCAGGAGTAATATGCATGAAATGTCACTGAGGGCCAGATGTTCCACTGCTGTGTAATGACATTGACCCTTCTGAGGGCAGTGAAATAACTGCAGTTTATGCAATTGAAGTATTGAGCTCTAAACTTTGGTTTACAGTAAAATACGGTTGCTCCCATGCCTGAGTAAAAGTAAATTCCAGACATCATTTTGACCATTGTTTTAATGGGTCCCCCAGGCTGTTTGTACACTTAATTTTTTTTTGTTTTTCTCTCTTAGTGTTGGAGCACTCGTGGGCCTGTCAATAGCAGCAGTGGTCCTCTTTGCTTTCATCATCACTGTGTGTGTTCTCTGTTATTTGTTTATCAGCACCAAGCCACGCAGCAAACTGGATACTGGCTTGAGCTTACAGACAGCAGGTAAGACTGGTTGTTATTGATGTGCATTAGCACCTGCAGAGCAAAAGCCTTACTCGGTCTTTAAATGGATGTGCAGGAATCCTACAGAGTGTGTTTTCTTTCTGATGGGAATGTCAAGATGTAATCAAGCTGTCCTGCTGTTTTGCCTGCTCTGTGAAATCTGTACTAAACTAAAAACATTTAGCACGAGCTCAGTATATTTCTTTAGTAGTAGGAAGAATGTAAAAGTTTGCAATACTGAGTGAGGGTAAATTAGCTCCTTTATCAGGAAGATACTTATTGACTTTGTTGCTCTGGATTTCCTGTCAAGAGTACATAAACATAGAGTAGTGATTCATTCTAGGAATAAGAATCTCAGGAAAGATTTGAAGTGTATTTTCTTGTGACAGAGAGAGGTCATGCTTTTTCTTCCTTTCTTCCTGACATAGGATGCAGACTTTGAAGTCTAAAACACTTTGTTTCAGTAGCAGTAATCCATGCCTTTGTGCCCAGACTGTGTTGGCAGATCCTGCAGGAGCAGTGCATGTAGTCAGCATTAACTCACTCACATGGAGAAATTGCTGCTGCTGCTCCAGTTCACTACATTTGTGAAATCTGACTGCCAGTCTCCTTGGCAAGATGGAGTGTAATAAGTTTCATCCTTTGTCGTGGACTTCCTAAATATTTAAACGAACTGCTTCAGCAGTTCAACCAGTAATGTTGTAGGAAATAAAAGGAATGTTGTACTTATTTAGGCATTGGAAGTTCAACAAGTTGAAAAAGGGGAATAATTCTTGGAAGAAAGTCCCCTCAGCTCAAGTTTTCTCTTTGCTTGTTATTTTAAAATGCTTCTATACCTATATATAAAAAATATATATAATATATTTATGGCAGTAAATGACCAATAAGTTCCTGTAATTATGGCCTATTATAGAGCAGTAAGCCTCCTCCTGAGTCTAATTTTGTTCTGCAGAGAATGCAGGCTTTGCTTTAAAAGTGGTTCATAGAGCTGTCAGTCCTGCAAAGCCTCTCTTTGTAGCTGTATGAGGTGAGCAAGCTGCTGAAGTCACACATTCAGCAAACTGCTACTAATCTGCAGATTGAAAACTTCACACTTGTCCTGGAGAGAGAGTGGAATTAAGACCTGCTAGCTAGAACAACCTAAATAAACTCTTGGGTGGGATGAACAAAATGCTCTTGTGCTCTTCTACAAGATGGTTGTGTTTTAATTGTAAACTGGCATTATGTTTTTGAACGTGTTGCTGTTTAACTTCTTCCCTCAGGTTTTCCTGCTATGGCACCAGCTCTTAATCCATTGCCAGGACAGCAGTGCTGTATTTCTCATGCCTTTTATTTTTGTGCCAGACATGTTTGGCACGTGGAGAGCTGGGAAGGAGGCAGGTGCTACTGCATCACTACTGCCAAACAATTCCATCTTTCTGGATGGACTCGAGCCCTGCTGCAAACCCACATCCTGCTTGGGTAGCAGAGGTTGTTCCTCTCTTCCTGTCATCGGTGAACAGCATCTCAAGTTCCCCCACTGATGACCCAGCATTCATTCAGGCATTGCAAGTCACAATTCTAAACCTTACGAGGCTGGGAAGCTGAGAGATTTTTGCTTTTTCCCAGCCATCACTCGTGTGGTTTGGAGCTTTGCTCAGACAAATTCCTTTGTGTTTAAACACAGTTTTGACTGCTCTCATCCTGTGTTTTTAGCTTTTATTATTCTGCTGCTTTGGCTTCTTCAAATGACAATTATTTCACATCCAAATTCTGATAGCTTTGGCTGTTGGTGAGGTGGGTTGCTGGAAATTGAAAGCCAGTTATTTTGCCAAGGTTGAGAGATCTCTGGAAACGTTTTAGGATTTCAGTGACAAGCCTGAATGCTTGCCTTCATCATACTTGGGTGTCTTTTGCATGGAAGTCATGCAAGGGCTGAGTGTCTGACATGATGGCTGGTTGGCTGCTTGCAGCCCTGGGGAAAATAAAAACAGCCTCTCTCCTCATCTTTCAGTTCTTCTCAAAGTGCAGGAAAACCATACATAAGCAGTAAAAACAAAATAAAAAATTAACAGTTTTTAGATGCTTCAGAAAACTACAGGCCTGAGGACCATGAGTTTTAAGTATGAATTCAGTTCAACATAGCTTTTTCTAAACTAGCATAATTATGCCTTTAGATGAAGGCTGTGTCACACTTTAGTTGTTGAGCAACATCTGCACTGCTGGAGCACTCATACAGCACTCATTTTTGAAAGCAGTTTTTTTTTATTATATTCAATTTCACCCATACTACAGCAGCTCAGTTGGAGTTTTGTATCTCATTAAACATACAATTGATTATTTTATGCCTTTCCTACCTCACGTAATAGCAAAAGTTGGTCATTTTTCTGTGGGCTCATCCAAGATCTCCTAAATACAGAAATAATTTCAAGATCGATGATAAATCTAACAGTAAACTGAATATGAAGCCCTTTATTAAAGTTTCTCATTCTACAAAAGGCATATCAACTGGAATTTGCTTCTGTTTAGCCTTAAACGAATGGTCTTCCATGGCATTAACACAGTTTTTCCTTAGCATCAGTACTGAATATAACAGATTGGATTATTGAGTTACCTAAGGATCTTTTAGCCCTAGCAAAAATTTACATTTTAATCTGAGCATTGAATTTCAGGAAACATGAGCTCAGCAACTGGTATAGACAAGGAAGAGCTACTTAAATATTACTGGAGTTAGACATTTCTATTTGTAGAGTGCAGAGCTGATCCATGCAGGCAATCACATACAAATGAAGATTCTGCATTTCAGTTGCTTGTTAAGCTCTTTCCAAGAGAAAGTATTTTTCATTAAACTCATTGTAGATGTTTTTGTTTCTCCCATTTGAAGGCTGGAGACCTATAACAGTGGTAAAAAAAGGCCTCAAAGAAATTCAAGCCCTGAATATGCAAACATGATGTATTTATTCAAGGTGAAAGGGAATTTGGTCACGTGCTTTGTCGTTCTTCTAACAAAAAACTTCTCTTTGTGCAAAAGGTTTATCCCCTTCAAAATGTGGGGAGTTAGGAAGTCACAGGAATTTAAATGTTTTGTTAAGGCTGAGTAAATAGTGCTGGAACCTCCTCACAGTGCAAGAGATAAGGAGGACTGAGTAAATATTGCATAACTGTGAGGATAGGGGTGGTAAAGAGGCAGAAAAGGGGAGATCCAGAGGCACATCTTGGCTCTGGGACAGGTGCACACACACTTGCCTTGGCCAGGCAGCTGATGGAGGAGGAGTGATCATTTCTGCTGGCCCCTGACAACGGCTTTGCCATCAGACATACAAAAGGTGGAGAGAGCCTCTCCACTTTGGTGACCCAAACAGTTTTTAAACACATTTTCTGAGTTGCCCTGGTATTTCTGCCAGGTCTGGAAAGAACTTTTAGATGAAGTGTTCCATACCACTGCAAAGCATTAATACCAAATTACATTTTATGGTGGTAACTAATACTTTTCCCTTAAAACTTAGCACAGGAAGACCTCTGTAATGCATTCAGAGTCAGACAGCAGGGACCTTTGGGTTGGAGTGTGAAAGAATTGTGGCCTTGTAAATTAATCATAAGTGCTGGGGAAAATGTGCTTTAAGAGAAGTTAATAATTCTTTGTTCTTGCAAAGCGGTGATGTCATAATATGCAAAAGTTCATGGTTTCATTTCATAATAAGGAAAAACACAGCTTGAAAAATAGCCAGATGACTTTCCTGTCCCTATTTCCCTATTTCTCTCCTTAATTAAAGATTCCTCATGGGGAGTGATTCAAATATATGAAATATTCAAGTATTTTGATGAAAAAGCACGAAACTCTCACACATTGTCCTTCTTAGCTCAGTACAATTATTGGTTGTGAAAGCAGATAGCTGCTGTTTGAATTCAGATGTACTGCTTGGCTTTTGGAGTGTACATTCATAATTTTGCCTTCTAGGTTTAGGAGTAATTCCAACTGTATGGTGTTCTTGCAGCTGGCTTTAAATCTTCCCCAGTTAGGCTGCTTTTATCTTTGCCAGTCATCTACCTCAGATTTCTGTTTGGGGAAAAATCAGCCAAATGGGCTCAACTGTTTAAAAAAAAAAAAAGGATTTTTTTTTTTTTTTTTAGAAAATGAAAAATTCCATTTTGAATTCAAATTTAGTGGAAGGGTACATCACTAGAAAATATTAAATTTTGAAATGTCTTTATTGTACTCCTTAGCTTTTAAATTTCACAGATTTTCTTGTAGCAGTGAGATTTTTGCAGCTCATTAGGAGTCAGGTTTTTTATTACAAATATACCCATAGCTGCTGTAGGCTTCAAAAATAAAGTGCCTTCCTCTGTAACTGATAAGAATTATTTTTTCTTCTTTTTGGGTTTCTTTTTCTTCCAAGCTGAAATAACTCAGTTGTTTTCAGCTAAGACCTTAGCTTAAATACTATTGTACAGATTTTTTCAAATGCTAAACTATCACATCCCATTTTTGCATTTTTGAAACCAAACTGCAGTTTTTTCAATTCAAACAAAATAAAATAAAATGCAGCTTTCAAAACATCTCAATAGCAAATAATTCCCCTTTCCCAATCTGCTTTGCTTCAGTTTCTTATTAAATTAAAATATTAGCATTCTCAACTTTTCATCCTTTTTTGGATATAGGGGACCTGTTTTTCAATCCCTTCCCTACACACTGGCTTGGAGAAAAATACCCTGCCCAGTTAAGTTTATCTTTTCTGTCTCTTTGTGTTGGCCCACACTTGGGAAAGTGGAAAATGAGGTCAAAGCCAGTGTTGAACTAAAGGGTAATGGGAAATACAGGGAGGCCTGGGAGGAAGATTGAGGAGCTCCATAAAGAGAATTAGATGGCAGGATAAAGCAGGGGGAGAGGCCTTGGAACTGGCAGAAAAAGGAGAAAACTGCAAGGAGCTGATTGCTCCTGGGAGCTTTTGGAAGAGGGATGGGACTGATGGAGCTGAGAGCAGCAGAGCAGGGAGACAGCAATGCCAGAGGGGTGGAGAAAG